GCAACGACCTACCTCCAGAGCGAATACCACTTTTGCGCTTCCTCGAGCTAGAACTAACGTTAGGTTTCAGGATCCGATTTTCACCATGTGAGCAACCTTAACTCTGTCTCCGTTGACTGTGATGTGTTTGACTGCTCTGTGGGTCATTTGGTCTCACTGGTGGGTGGGGGGCATTAATGGTTAACTATTGTTTATAATAGTAATTTATAATTAATAATTTGTTATTGTTGTTATTATTATGATTGATTCATTTAGGTTTAGATTTAGGTTTAGTTTTCTCTTTTTGTATTTTTTTTTTCTTGGTTTTTGTAAATTTGATATTTAATGTTTAGTAACAACCTATTGTTTAGATTGTATTTCCTGTAAGTGGGCTCTAATTGCCTGTTGGAAATAAAGGCTATTATTAATATTATTAGTATTATCTACCCTTGTTTATATATTTCTATTTATACATTTATATTAGTTATTACTATTTTTTATTTAGGCTGTTACTATTAATATTTTCAGTATTTTTCTCCTATTATTTCAAATGAAAACATCTTTTATACCCAAAGTCAACGTTTATTTGCAATTTTTTTTTTCACTTGCATCAGCACAAAAATCGTTATTGATTAATTAGTCAAATTAAAAATGCTTTGTGAAATTCACTCTCCACAAAAAAACACATTATCTACTATTTTTAGTATACAGGGTCCGACAATAGTGCGTCGGGCATCTGTAGCTTCTGGAATAAAAAACTTGAGAATTTTGTTTAGGTGCAAGTCTAAACTATGTACTATGATGTATTTCAGGAAAATATTCTAACTTCTACAGGGTGGCTCAAAAAAGTGTGAGTGGATCGGGATAACTTTTTTAAATGGAATACTCTGTATATTATTGCATTTTTGGCTTCCTTTCTGATCACTTTACATAGTCCTAAGATATTATTAAATTTTGTTTTATAACTTCAGAGATATAAGTAAATAAATTAATAAAATATATTTTTAGCCCTTTTAAAAAAATATATTAAAAATATAAGATGTGTCCTGAAATTAAAAATATGCTAGTTACTTTCTATAACTGGTCTTTACTTACTTTAGTATAAATATCGTAAATCAGAAATCATGCAGGCGGGTATTCAAAATTCTACGCCTAACTTTCTAAAATATAAAATAAAATTTTCTTCGTTTTTTTTTTTAAATGAAACACTATACGGGGTGTTTCACGTATTTCTTCGTTAGATGGAGAATTAAAAAATGAATATTTTTTGTATTTAAATTATTTCAAAATTTTTCACGGTTTCGCAGATATTTGTGGTATTATTACATAGCTATATGGCTCTTTCAACGGCAAAATACCATAAAATATCATTAGGTGGCTTTGATAAAAATTTACTGTGGAAAATGTCATATGTACAACTTAACAAGTATAGCTAGAGACGTGAGAAATATAAAATAAGAGACGCCCCTCGATGAGCAGTGGACAGCCCGCAAATTTGCTTCAATCAGATTTGTCGTAGCGTAATTGCATCTCTTTTTCGCCGAATGCGTTCTCTCTCTATCGTGTGCGCGACCGGTGCTATCCCCAAGTCTCTTCCTATATTTGTCAAACTGTACTATAGTACTGCGAATATCTGCGAAACCGTTAAACATTTTGAAATATTTTAAAATACAAAAAATGTTCATGTTTTAAGTCTCCATCTAATAAAAAAATTATACACAGGATGTTCTATTTAAAAAAACGAAGATAATTAATTTTATATTTTAGAAACTTTGGCGTATAATTTTGAACACTCTGTATGATTTAAGATTACGTTATTTATAGCAAAGTAAATACAGACCATCTTTTTTTTTTTTTTTCCACAATAAGGGGCCGTCCTCTGCCGGAAACACTGCGACCTGTGAGGTCTATTGTGTTTGTCCCCTTTCTATATCTGCACCCATTCTCCTATCCCTGTGCCCTGCACTAACTTATGCAGGTCCTTGATAGGATGGGAGCATAGTTCCTCCGGTTCTAGCCTAGCTTTCCCAAATAAAAGTGTCGCTTGCGATCCAGAGCCTCTCAGTGACATATTATGTGCTCCGCTGTTTCAGGATCTTTATCGCAGAGTCTGCAGCAAAGACTTCCTTGATACAGATTGAGCTTGTTCAGGTAACACTTGACAGCCATATGTCCTGTCAAAGAGGCCTGTTGTAATCCGCAATTTATTCCTGCTAAGCATTAGCAGTTCTTTTGCGGTTTTGGAGCTAGGTCCTTGGATAAAAGCCTTGCTGTGCCTGTGCCCCTGTCTGTTTCTCCAGTGGACATTCTGCTTTTCCCTGATCCAGAGTTTTAATGCACTACGGGCCATACATTTGGGTATTCCCAGTACTGGCTCTGGACCAAGATAAGATGCGAGACCATCTTTAGTAAATATCTAAGAGTTTTGATTGCAGGACAGTTCTTGTATTTTTAATAATTTTTTTAAGGAAGGTTCAAAAATATATATTTTTTATTTATTTATTGATATCTCTGAAACTATCAAATCTTATTTAATAATATCCTAGGATTATGTAAAGTGATCAGAAAGGAAGCCAAAAATACAATAATGGATGATTGAATACAGGGTGTTCCACTTAAAAAAAAATCATCCCGATCCACTCACACTTTTTTGAGCCACCCTGTAGAAGTTAAAATATTTCCCCAAAATACATCCTAGTACATAGTTTAGTTTTGTGGCTGGCTGGGCACGTGTCCCTGGGCCCTTTAGGACCAGTCGCCATTGGTGAAATTAATTATGACTTTGTCAACTATGTAATTCTTAATTTTTGTTGTAGTTAAATGACAAATGACTACTAAAAAAAAGAACATTTTCTTTTTATACAGGGAGTTTCAAAATACATGTGCCATCTCTCGTAGGGAGATTCCTCATGTAAAAATAAGATTTATTTTTCATATCAACATAGGTCCGATTCTGCTTTGTTTCGTAGCTACAGGGTGTTAAAGATTTAATATATTTTCGATTTATTATAATTTCCTTCCAAGTACTTTTAGTGTTTAGAATGAAATTTTGAGGGTAAAAGTTACTATAAAAGCGACATATTTTAATGCTAAAACAGTGTCGATATATTCACCAGGGACGTGCATATGGGTTATCAGTGGAATATTTTTCTAAAAAAGGCATGTACGTCACTGACTTTTTTCGCTTGTTAGCGAAATAATTTAAACAATTTAATGCCGATTAAAAGTTGTCTCTTGATATTTTGTCGATTTCAGCCTTCTTGATGAGATAAACGCAATCTTATTAATTTGCCTTGATCAAGTCTAATAGCAACCTTCAAAAAATTTTAATATCATTAGCTTGCAAAAATTTTGAAAAGTACTCGTTGATTCCTCATCAAAAAATATGAAAAAAAGTTCCTATAAACATGGGTATGGAAATGCATAGTTTTAGAGTTACAGGATGTTAAAGATTTTTAAAATTAGGTTTTGTGTACCTAATTATCTTAAATACCATTATTTTTTTATTTTAAATAATTACTCTAGGTTGGACTAATAGTAATAATAACTAATGGTAATAATATTTAATAATCAATTAGGGAAAATATTCAATTTGTTAATTTTATTATTTTATTAAATGTAATTAATAAAATTGCGTTTATCTCATCAAGGAGGCCGATATCGACAAAATATCAAGAGACATCTTTTAATCGGCATTAAACTTCTTACATTATTTTGCTAACAAGAGAAAAAAGTCAGGGGCGTACATGCTATTTTTAGAAAAATATTCCAATGAAAAAAAAATCCCAAAAAAACCCATATGCACGTCGCTGGTAAATATGTCGACACTTTTTTAGCTTTAAAATATGCCGCATTTATAGTAACTTTTACTCTCAAAATTTCATTCAAAACGCTAAACGTACTTGGAAGAAAATTATAATAAATCGAAAAAATATTAAAATTTTAACACCCTTTAGCTACGAAACAAAGCAGAATCGGACCTATATTGATATGATAAATAAATCTTATTTTTACGTGAGGAATCTCCCCACAAGAGATGGCACATGTTTTTTGAAACACACTGTATATTTTAAGTTACGTGTTTTAATTTGAAAAATCCCGAAATTAATCAACAAATATGAATTTAGTATAAAAAAATACATAACAAACTAATATCTCTCGGATTGATTTACACTGTTTTAGAATGATTAGTTTTAAAAAGACTATCATAAAATAGAACCAGTTAAAAACCATCCAGAATTTGCTATTTAGCAATTTTGAGAGAATTTTAGATGTGTAAAATAAATATTATAAAATTTGTCGCATTTCAAAAACTACCCTGTACCTTATAATTTAAAAAAAATATAAATTGGAATGCCACTTTTAATAAATAAGTCATAAAATAAAATAAATAGTCCAAATAAATAGGTAAAAAACTGAATATTCTGGTCAAAGACTTCAGCGAGTATATAGGGTGTTTCAGGAATAAGTGCAAGTATTTTAAGGGGTGGTAGATCTCGATAAAAGAAACATATTTTCTCTTTATCGTTTTTCAAATAAGTCCAAAATAACGGAGTTACTTTACTTCGAAAATTTCCAAAAAAAATGATTTTTTGATAAAATTTTGAGAACCACTGATCTTTTTTGGATTTTCTTTCTTGTAAATTTAATCTAATACCTATGTTGCAATATTATCAAGAAATTATGTTTTTTAACTAAAAACTAAAAAAAATTCCGAAAAATTTTTCAAACAATTTCGAATTTTCAAAATTTTTTTTTCGCGAAAAAAACCTCATAAGCCTTTTTCTGGGGTTAAACTATACTACCAGTTAAAAAACTTGCACTTATTTCTGGGACATCCTGTATAGCTTTGCTTGAAAAATATCCACGTTTCTTTATTAAGGATGTCCGTAATTTAATGTAATCTAAAAATTTCCAGTTTATTTCCAGATATATTTGAAACTGTTCGTTGCCACCGATGTCCTTTTTAAAAGAGTATTCGTTAAAACAGATTTTACTGTATAAATACATATTGCACTTACCTTAATTTCGAATAATAAATATGTTGCTTATAAAAATCCTTTTTTTAATATTTATAGTTAGCAGTCTGTCTTATCAAAACATTGTTCAAATACACAGGACAAAAAAATTACACTAGCAATTCAAACCACTGTTCTGAACTTGTAAACAATAATCATCAACCAAACTTTCGACATTACTGCCGCTATTGGGTGTTGTTAAGAAACTAAAACAAAACTTTTGTCTTCGCGATCATAATTTCAATCCCCTCTAACGTTTTCACTGATTTTTTTCTCGTTCCGTATCGGGAAGACATAACATTATATCAAGTAATGTCTATTAAAGTATTTTTTTGGAAATAATGTACTGAAACAAAATACATAAATAATAATAGTTATTTTTTCTACAAGACGATAAAATGGTATTTTATCGTCGACTGGAATAGAATTAATTTCGGGAGACGATAATGGAATTTTATCGTCGTGTATAAAACAATATTTTTTTCCATAGCGAGTTACGTTTAATAAAAAATATTCAGAAATTATTATTTCAAGGAATTTATTACGAGTAGAAAAAATATTGTGCCGGGTTGGCGTGTAATTTGACAATGTAATTTGACAAATAAATAAAGCTGTCTCTTTAGTTGTCAGTTTTGAGTCAATATTTTTTAATTCTCTTTCGTGTCGATTGCTGATTGAATTGGAGCCAGAAATGGCTCAAAACGAAATAAGTAAATTACCAACAGATATTCAGTCCGAGGCGACAAACGCCATATCCAAACTACTTCCATTTCAATCCCGAACAACTTATGAAAAGGAATACAAAAATTTTCAAAAATGGAAGCAATTAAAAAACGTGCTAGAAGAAATAAAGTTTTTAACCTATCCTCGCTGTTAAAGTATCATTTAATCTATCCTTGCGGTTAAAGTACTATTTTATCTACTATTTTTGATAGATATAAGGCAATTTTAATAGTTGCTATGGAAAAAACAAAACATATTTAAACACTATTTTATTACTTAAACACATTATTTTTGTTATTTTAGTAACACATATTAAATATGTGTTAGTTGTTTAAAAATAAAATAATATCTCTAAAAATTAGTACCATACGATCGAAAAAAAAAACGGCGTCAAAGACCGCTGGAGAATGACAATCGGTGATAATTTTGGCGAGGTCAGGCCCTAGATGCCATTTATTTGGCTCGTGCTCTTCTTTATTTTTTAATGGCGACTGAGTAAAAATCTATACTAATCTATACTAATACAATATTTTTATTTAAAAAATGGTCAAGTTTCCCAAAAAAAGCTTAAACACGTATATTTTATTTGTTTTTTTACATATTTTAAGATTTTTTTAAAAATGTATACAGGGTGTTTCGAAAAATCTGGTCATTGATTAATCACGATCCTGCTTAAAGCGCTTGACGTAAAAAGCTGATTTTTGGAAAACAGATTGACTTTAGGGTGTAGAGGTTCGATAAGAAGGGATTTTTCGAAACTCGAATTCTAAGGGGGTAAAATTCCATTCCTCAAATATTAAAATATTTTTTATTTAAAAACCGGTGAGTTTTTCGGAAAAATTCTTAAACACGTATATTTTATTTTGTTGTTTTACATATTTTAAGATTTTTTAAAAATTTATACAGGTGTTTCATAAAATATGACCATTGAGTAATCACGATTCTGCTTAAACTGCTTGACGTTTAAAGCTGATTTTGGAAAACGGATTGACTGTGGGGTGTAGAGGTTCGATAAGGAGGGGTTGCTTGAATCTCAAATTTCAAGAGGGTGAAAACGCCCCTCAAATATTCCAATATTTGTTATTTAAAAAACGGTTAGTCTTTCGGGAAAACGCTTGGACACGCATAATTTATTTTGTTTTTCACCTATTTTGAAATTTTTTAAAAAATCATACAGGGTGTTCCGAAAAGTTGGGTAATTGATTAACCACGATTCTGCTTAAACTGCTTGGACGTAAAAAGCTTATTTTTGGCAAACGGATTTTTCGAAGGTCAAATTCCAACGAGATGAAACTACTCCTCAAATATTACCAAGTTATATAATAATATCGCCATATTATTTTTTCTCATGCTGACATAAATGTGAGAACATTTTATCCAGATTGTATGTTAAAGGAAATTCTTGCTTTGCTTTATCATCACCATTACGAATGATTAATTCGACGCGAACGAAGTCGCGGGTACACGCTAGTTATTTTATATGGCGCTTTCAACAGTAAAATACGAGAGAAAAATCATTGGGTGGCTTTGATAAAAATTTACATATGGAAAATTCCATATGAAATACAAAACCGCGAATATCTGCGAAACCGTTAAAAGTTTTGAAATACTATAAATAAAAAAAATGTTTATTTTTTAATTCTCCATCTATTGAAAAAATAATATACAGGGTGTTCCATTAAAAAAAACAAAGAAAAATTATTTTATATGTGAATTTGACCAAAAATTTCTCCCTTGCGTTTTTTTTTGCATCTGAGTGTAGATTAAATTGGGAGAAACGAAAAAACAGAAAAAAATGTGCTTCTCAAAAATATGTTTTTTTTTAAATTTTCAAAGTACATTAACTCGGCAATTTTGGACTTATTTGAAAAAACTACAAAAGAAAAATATACAGTATAATCGAGATGGCTTTGAAATGAGTATTGCTGCTGTTATGTTATATGTAAAATTATATGGAGAATGTCATCGATCGTCATTTCCAAGCCAACCGAATGCCGCGTTTTTTTCGATCATACGGTATTTATTATATCGAGATATACCAGCCACGAAAATATTTGCACTTATTTAAGACACATCATCTATATGTCGAAAAAAGCATTATGTCTTCACTCATTCATTCTCTTTAACATACAGAACATGGATTAAATAAATTTCAATAAAACAAATTGTTCTCGTATACACGTTTATATGTCTGTTTAATCATTGTGCAACTAAACATATTACATTACATACATATAATCTTTGCAATAGTACATTACCCTACAAATACATTTTCGATTCAGACATCGTTTGTCAAAAAATAGGTAACTTTACTTTCTAGCAAATTAGCGATTCAACTCGTGTGTCCAAACTTTGGCTCGGCGGTAAAAGTAAATCCTCTTTAATACGACCAGCGTTTGATACACATATATTGTCAAGTATTATTTATCTATTTATTAAGATTAACAAAAAAAATACGACACACTACTATGATTTTACCTTAGTTTGGAAGGTTCCAATGCTGTATGAATGTAAAAAAGTAAAATACTACCATAAAACTTTCAAGAAGTTCGAACAAAGCAAAACAAAACACTAATTCACTACAATTACACGAAAAATATCATTAGCAGATAATAAAAACTTAAGTTTTAATCATCTATTGATGATGCCGAATGCCAAGATAGTTAGCGAAACGCTAGAGAACTTTGTCCAGAATTCAGAGTAAAATGCTTTGGTATATTATTGTGCCGGAGCAGTGTTATATTTTACTCTTTAACACCAAGGGTTACAACCTCAACTATATTTTTCAAAACGTTGATTAAAAAATAGAATAAAAACATAAAACATCTTTATTAATCATATCGAGAATCACAGAGAAAATTAAAAATCGTGAAAATACAGTTGAATTTTTTCATAAAAATCAAAAGTCCTTTCTAGGGTAATATAATTTCGATTTCATTCCTTGATTGATGGTTATTATTAATTTTGATTAACGTCATATTTTTTACTGTTGTTAAAGTATTACATTTTCCGATAACTATTATCACCCTTTCCGTAGTACCGAACTAAATAAATTTTCTTTAACATTATACAGGGTGCTACAAATTCGAGGTACGAGCATTGGTATCTCGGAAACCGTAATAGATACGAAGATGGTTAAATTGGGGCAAAGTTGCGCCTTGGGCTGTTCACCAAGATTCCATCAAAAAAGTTTTAAAAATTTCAAGGATTGCTGAGTTTTTTGGAAAAAACGGATTTTTTTGAAAACTAATTTTATTTTTTCCTGTCGTTACTTTTTAGAAAACCAAAAGGTAATTATTGGGAAAAGTGGAAATCGTCCGATTTTCACCAAAATTGGTATACACCCTATTTTGAGGTCGTAGATTACGAATCTGAACTTGTTTCCTGGAGGTCTCTTACCGTTTTTCAGAAAAACGGAAAATTATGTCAACATTGAATTTTTCTTAATTTCTCGTATTTTTAAGGTTTTTTCGCACATATTTTGTTAGGTATTCAATAAACGATCAGGTGTTTGCTATTTTCTGTTACTTTTTTAACCAATTCTATGCATAATAGAGGAAAATTTGCTAAAATAAATTTGTAAACAATCTGAAAATGTTGGGTTATGCGTTTCTGACATTTAAAGCGACGTTGCCAATGCTAAACCTAAATTTAGCGCGTCTTTTTCGCCCTCTCTGGGATTACCAGATTCATGGAAAGGGAAATATTTTCCCCTACATTCCAAGGCAAAAACCGTTAGATTCTAACGATATTTGCAACTGATTTTTATTGATTAATGTGCACGAGGTGCAGTTAGAGCTTTTTTCTGCGACTGAAGACAAGTAAGTATTTAGCAATGGAGCCCTGCAATGGATGCACTTTGGACGTCGGAGGTATGTATAATATAGTCATTGATGAGGGTAAACTAAATAATTTTTTATTTTCTCATTGGGTATTTTCTATCGAACCTATAAATTGTCCGAGATGCCATGTACCCTGCAAATTTTACGCACGCGATAAATTTACATTTCATTGCACTAATACAGTGTATTTGTCAAAAAAGGGGACTAAATGTACGTTTAAAATTGGGGCATAGAGGGGAACTTTTTTGAGAAGGCGCATTGAGACATCCAGACAATTTGTAAGTTCGTGTTTTACTGGTTAGCCCATAATCACGGGCAGGAGTGGATGATGGTCGAGCTGCAATTGGCGTCCGATTACTGTTGTCAACTAGACAAATTTCTGCAGGGAAGTTTGCTTAATTTGTTCTGGTTGATAACTCCCAAAAATTGTGGGGGCCCAGGGGTTATTGTAGAGATCGACGAATGCAAGATGGGCAAACGAAAATATAATAGAGGTAAAGTAATCGACGGTCAATGGATTCGGAGGAATCGAACGGGAATCAAAAAGCTCTTTTGTTACCCGTTGAAGAACGGTCGAAGGAGCATCTGCTGGCGGTTATTCAAGAATGG